CCTATATAAACCCTCAGCTTGGGATGCTCCCGCTGTTTCTAACAGTCTTCAATACGATGATAATGGGGGGGGGGGTACTAAAAATGCCTGTTAAGGACTGTTAGTATAAGGGGGAACAGCCCAACCCTAGACCCTAAACCCTAAACGAACATCCCAACCCTAAACCCCAAACCCTAAACCCTAAACCCTAAACCCTAAACCCTAAACCCTAAACCCTAAACCCTAAACCCTAAGCCCGTCGGCTGAGGAAACTTCAGGCCACGAATGCCAAGTACCAAGAGAGGCCCGGGCAATGAGTTCGATGCACTTGTCCACAAGCTTGCCGAGTCCATACTGGACACCAACCTGCAGGTTTAGGGTTTAGGGTTTAGGGTTTAGGGTTTAGGGTTTAGGGTTTAGGGTTTAGGGTTTAGGGTTTAGGGTTTAGGGTTTAGGGTTTAGGGTTTAGGATTTACAGCGTTTAAGATTTAGGGTTTAGGGCTTAGGCGAGGAGCTCTGGGGCTTACAGCGTTTAGGGTTTGGGGTGCTTAGGGCTTAGGTTTTTTTGTATCGTTGGTAGGGTTTACAGGGCTTATGGGGTGTAAAGGGTTAGGGTTTACAGGATTTAAGGTCACCATAAGTTCAGGGTGAGACAAGGGGGCCTATTTGACGCGAACGGGCATCGGAAACGCGTATCGGGAAACTGTCGGTAGTTGCTTTTGAGCGGCTGCATGACCACAGGTTGCTGAAGAAGCGTGCGGTGGCTTGATTTAGCCCCAGAACACGACACGGTTCGGTCCGCAGGTCTACCAAACCTATACTCCCTCAGAACAATGGGTATGGGGTTTAGGGTTTAGGGTTTAGGGTTTAGGGTTTAGGGTTTAGGGTTTAGGGTTTAGGGTTTAGGGTTTAGGGTTTAGGGTTTAGGGCCGTTTAGGGTTTAGGGTTTAGGGTTTAGGGTGATGAGAAGCGAGCATGTTTCATGCTCTCTTGGCTTGGACATTATACATACATAACAGATCACTCTGAGGGGACGAAAGCAATGCCAGCGGTTGTCAGGGGCACTCTGGCAAAATCAACCACGATGTTTTGGGGTGGGGTTGCTCGGCATCGGGGTCCCCATTTGCCGGGGCGAACGAACCCTAAACCAAACCCAGGCTAAACCCTAAACCCCACAAAACCCTGCCCTAAACCCTAATATTTCTTTAAAGGTGTGTGCCAGGGCCGCCAGGGACCCTATAACCTAGAACTCGACACAAGACCCCCCCCCCTATGCTCTTACTCGCAGCTCACGCATGGTGAAACTTTCTGCAGGTTTAACGAAATATCCGCCCAAATACCTGCCCTTAATTTTCTTGGTAGCCCAGTAACCATACTAAAGGGTACCCTTTGTTGGATTGGTTGCTATACCAGGGAACCCACAAGCCAAAAAAAGTGGGAAAAAGGTACCACTGGGCTACCAAGTATTGGCCCTTGCAGGGTTCCTATGTTGCTACGTTCTCCCGAAATGGCCAAGGGCCCCAAGGGTTTAGGGTCTAAGGTTTAGGGTTTAGGGTCTAAGGTTTAGGGTCTATAGGGTCTAAGGTTTAGGGAAAGGTTTAGGGTCTAAGGTTTAGGGTTTAGGGAAGCAAGGCCACTCTGGTGCCAGTGACTGGTCTTACCAGAGGATCAAGCGATCAAGCCACTCACCTAGACTGCAGCACTACATTTAGTACGGCCCCTAAAAAGGGGGCCCAGTATATACCCTATACAACCCAAGGGCCCATACGGAACCCATTACAGAAGGTAAAGGACCACGTTAAGGGCCTATAAAACTACCCTTAGATCTTTGGCACATAAGAGGTGCTAGAGAGCAGGCATCTTCAGGATTGCAGCGTCGCTGAGCTCTTGCACAAAGATACCTACAGTATTTTGTGGGGGTCCTTATTAGCAAGGGGATTATAGTATGTTGGGGCTATATAGGGGGTCATTGTACTCCGGGCAAAACCCATGTGCCTATGGTCTGGCCGTCCCAGCACATGGGAGGTCACTCGCAAGCCTGGAGGCGAAGTTGCTTCGCCCGCAAAGCTAAGCCTACAACTTCTGCTGAGTTGGTCGGGCGGGCGATGGTCAAGACCTGACATGATCTCTGATTTTCCTCAAAAGGAAGGCAAAGAACTTGCAGCTACGGTTCGTCAGATGAACTTCGGCTGGTCGCCAAAGGCAGGTCTTTGGCTTCAAATCCGTGTGCGCGTGCTTGTGCGTGTGTGAGGTCGGACAGGGTCACCTGCTTTGCCATAGTAGTCTGGACGTCTTCAAGCCAGAATTCACGGAAAGTAGGTGGCCTTCATGAAATCGTACGAATTGGGGCCCCACATGTCTCCCGAACAGTGCAGACATCTCCAGATGCGACTCGTGGATGTAGCAGAAGGGCCAGCCTCATGTGATCTTGCCCGGCCAAGATGAGAACCTCACCTTTAGTCCAGCCTCGTTCGGCGGATGGAGAAGGCTGCTCAGGCATACCAGACCATGACCTCACGTTCACACACACACCAAGGAGCCATGCTTGAAGGTTCATGGGTAGCTCGAAGTAGGCATTAAACAAAAAAGAAGAAAGAAGGCTGTAGCTACTTGTAACTCTAGTTACGGCCTACTTATAACCCACTTCTAACTACCCATGAACCTCCGAGTAGGTCATACTGCGTTGTAGGCTCGCTACTTATAAACTCATCCTACAGAAAACCGCGGGCTGTAGGGAAGAGGCCCGGTGGTTCAGAGTGTCGGCAACCGTGATATTCTTGTTGATGCCCGAGTTGATGTGAAGACCTGGCACCAAGTAGGGTCTAGGGGTTACAAAGGGTTTAGGGTTTAGGGTTCATAAAGGGTTTAGGGTTCAAGGCCCCCGCGGCCCCCCCACCCTCCCGCCCTCCCACCCCACCCCCACCCCCCCCCCCCAAAGCCGCAAGCCCCTGAAACTGACAGCTTGAAGCGCCAAATTGCTTAAGCTCATAAACCCTAAACCCTAAACCCTAAACCCTAACATCTTCCGCGCTGCAACTTGAAGCCCCTTAAGGCCCCAAACCTCAAAACCTGAAAACCCCTTGGCCCTGAAAACTGGGCCTCTTGTTAAGGAACCCTCTGATGTAAAGTTGGTAGGGTAACTTCTTGTTAAGTTTCAAAACCCCAAGCCCTAAACTCAAAGCCCCTAAACCCTAAAGCCGAAGGCCAAATTCTGAATTCCTGAACCCTAAACCCCAAACCCTAAACCCAAACTCTAAAGCCTAGCAAGCTCTGTAGCTTCCTGCAGCCCTCGCCCGCTGCCGCCTGAAGGACCCCAGAAGTGGTAAATCGGCGGGTTGTCGTAGGAGGGGTTCAGTGCCTCCTGGATTGCGGGTTTGGGGTTTAGGGTTTGGGTTTAGGGTTTAGGGTTTGGGGTTTAGGGTTTAGGGTTTGGGAGGGTTCAGGAGATCCCGAGTCGGGTGCACAGCGTAGATCAATGTTCCCCCCCTGCAATCGCTAGAAACAGCACCTTCCATTTCTTCTTGGGGGGGTTACACAACTTAGCTTACAGGGTTTAGGGTTTACCCTAGACCCTAAACCCAAAACTTATAAACCCGAAGCCCTAAACCCTAAACCCTAAACCCTAAACCCTAAACCCTAAACCCTAAACCCTAAACCCTAAACCCTAAGTCTAACTAAGGGAGTCAGCTTCCTCAGGCCAGTCCTCGTCGTCTGGGTGAGGTCGCGGAGGGTCGTGTATACCACCCTGCGACCAGCCACTCAGTGTGGCCACTCCCGCATGGACAGCCGCGGGATAGGGTTTAGGGCTTAGGGTTTAGGGTTTAGGGTTTACAGGTATAGGGTTTAGGGTGTAAAGGTTTAGGGTTTAGGGTTTAGGGTTTAGGGTTTAGGGTTTAGGGTTTAGGGTTTAGGGTTTAGGGTTTACGTAGGGTTTAGGGCAGCTTTGGGACAATGCATGTCATCTAGCCTCGAAGACGAAACCTGGGTCTGAAAGATGAAGGCTTCCTTTACAAGTACGGTAGCTTCATGCCCCGCCTTCCTCGTAGCGAGAGGGGGTTTTCGGAATTAGTATTCAGGGTGTAGGGATACGATATTAGGGGGTACCTTCTTGGGGCCCTTATCATAAGAGGATCCTACTACTTAGGGATCTATATTGGGGGTGCCCTATTCTCGTAAGCCCCCAGGAACCCAGAGCAACACAACAAGATGACTTCTTCACAGTTCTACATTCTGCATGCTGAGCTGGCCACCCTAGACCCTAAGCCCTGAAACCTAAAACCTAAAAGCATTCCAAAGCCATAGGGCCTCGGAAAACCCCTCAAGACCCACAAGCCCAACACCCCAAACCACACTTGCACCCCTAAATCTAACCCTAAACCCTAAACCCTAAACCCTAAACCCTAAACCCTAGACCCTAAACCCTAAACCCTAAACCCTAAACCCTAAACCCTAAACCCTAAACCCTAAACCCTAAACCCTAAACCCTAAACCCGGCCCTCCCCACTCACAAAGTTCTCCTCAATCCTCACTCTCCTCCCCCGCTTGGGTCCTCGATGCAGGGGTCGATGTAGCTAGGACTCTCCAGGCATCCACCAGCAGCAAGGGACACGCTGCCGTCGTCCTCCCGGATCTTCGCCACCTGCTACAAGAGGGTTTAGGGTTTAGGGTTTAGGGTTTAGGGTTTAGGGTTTAGGGTTCAAGGTCTAGGGACAGCACCTGAAAACTCAACTAGCCAAGGGCAGAGTTTCCTGAACCGTGAACGCCACTATCTGCCATAAGTACCCCTTGTTCGGGAGCGAGGGGGGGAGAGGGGGGACCCTAGACCCTAAACCCTAAACCCTAGACCTTGGACCCGAGACCCTAAACCCTAAACCCTAAACCCTAAACCCTAAACCCTAAACCCTAAACCCTAAACCCTAAACCCTAAACCCTAAACCCCAAACCCTACCAGGGGAGGAAGGGGGGGCCCTCAAGTGTAGTGCCACTCTTTGGGTCCATATCTTCATAAAGGCAAGATCTGAGGGGGGGCAACTCCGAAGAGGGGTCTCTAGGAACACATCCTCTAAGGCTTAGACTCGTTTAGGGTTTAGGGTTTAGGGTTTAGGGTTTAGGGTTTAGGGTTTAGGGTTTAGGGTTTAGGGTTTAGGGTTTAGGGTTTGGGGTGTTACATGGTCCCTTGGTAGTTTAGGATTGAGGGTTTAAGTGTTTAGGGTTACATGGTCCCTTAGTTTGGGCCCTTACAAGGAGAACCCTTATCCCTTGTATTCCCTATACCACACGAGGGATACATCAGAACCCTTCAAGGAGGACCATGTTAAGGGCCCATAGAACTACCCTTGCACGTACCCTGCACCCTAAACCCCAATCTAAACCCCAAACCCTAACACTGGTAAACCATGTAAGCGCTACTACCTGGGACTCTATTTACCTAATTACAGGTTAATGGCAAGTACCCCTTAGATAACTCGTAGGTCTAACCCATAAAACTGTAGGGTAAAGAGAGTCCCCTATACCTGAAACAAGCTTCTAAATCCTAAAACCTCAAACCTTCTGAACCCTAAACCTTACAATCCCCAAACGGAATAAGCCCCAAACCCCAAACCCTAACCCCTTACCCCTAACCCCTAACCCCAAAACCCAAAACCCTAAACCCTAAGCCCCTTTTCAGGAAGTCCCGGGCCCGGTTGTTGTCCGTATCGACGACGTAGATATTTCTGATGGGCACGCCGCCCACCTGAAGCACACAAGGCTAGGGTTGAGGATTTAGGATTTAGGGTTTAGGGTTTAGGGTTTAGGGTTTAGGGTGTAGGGTTTAGGGTTTAGGGCTTGCTAGGAGTTTATAAGGTTGGGGTTTAGGGCTTAGGGTTTAGGGTTTGGGTTTTAGGGCTTAGGGCTTAGGATTTAGGGTTTTTTGCCTGGGACTCCCTTTACCTACAGCTTAATGGGTTACACCTGCCAATTCATGGGTAGCTACTTACAAACTGTAGGTAAATAGAGTCGCAGGTGGGGCTTCGGGCTTAAGGTTTAGGGCTTGCGGCTTTACGGTTCCGGCCCTAAACCCTAAACCCGAAACCCTAAACCCTAAACCCTAAACCCTGAACCCTAGGGTGGCTAGTTTGGGGTTGAGGCTTCTATGAGGTTGAGGGTTTAGGGTTTAGGGTTTAGGGTTTAGGGTTTAGGGTTTAGGGTTTCCTCTATCCCTTGCCTTAGCCCTTCAGTCCGCAGACCAAACAGATCTTGTAGCAGCTATTCGTCTTCGCGCCTCAGCAAGCCTAAACCCTAAACCCTAAACCCTAAACCCTAAACCCTAAACCCTAAACCCTAAACCCTAAACCCTAAACCCTAAACCCTAAACCCTAAAGCCCGTCCTGCTCACTGTCGTCCACGTGGATGCCGGTGGGGCTCGTTGTCTTGTCCAGGGTGGTGCCGATGCCATTTCCCCCAGCCTCTGCCATTCAGGGTATCGAACCTTTTCAGAACCCCTGAACCATAAACCCTAAGCTGCATGGTGACGGGAATGGCGGCTGGCGAGAGGGTAGAGTCATTATCGCCGGGTTTGTAGACTATAAGTGCTGTAGCTGCATCTGAATGTCCACTACTTCGGTAGCCATTTCCCTTCGGTAGTGATATGGGTGTCCGTGGCACCTGATCAGTGGGTATCTGATTCATCGGCGCGTTTCCACATTAACCCGCCCCGCAAAAAAAACACGACTGGGCATTTCCCAAAATAGGGGTGCCGGGACCCCCACAAAAGGGTACCCCCCCTATTTTCGGAAACCGCCATATCTCGAGGCAGAGCACGACGACAGTTCCAGCGCCCCCTGCAAGCGCATACTTCACCACGCGGTGCTGCCCCGTGTCCGCCACGTAGACGAAGGAGTCGGTGGTGGCGAAAACCGCCTCCATCGGTCGAGGTTTGGCGAGGAGTTCAAGACCTATCTGGGACTCGATGTACCTACAGTTCCGTAGTAGCTGCCCCTTAAGTAGCTGCCCCTTAATCAGTAGGTAGAACCCATTAGACTGTAGGTTAAAAGAGCCCCAAATAACTTAAAGCGTTGCCTCTGGGTTCACGTACACTACGAGCCTTGCTACTGCAGCCGCCACTGCCCTCAAGTGTCTGGCAAGCAAGCAAGCAAGCAAGCAAGCAAGCAAGCAAGCAAGCAACAAGAATGCGAGACCTTGGGATGTTCCACCATATACAAAAAGTCCTTAATAGGGATTATAGTACCCCAACAGTTCTTAATGTGGATTATAGTACCCCCCCCCAAAAAAAAATGTATATATATATATATATCCCTCTGAAGGACTGCTAGTTCAAGGGCATGGTGGAGGGTTTAGGGTTTAGGGTTTAGGGTTTAGGGTTTAGGGTTTAGGGTTTAGGGTTTAGGGTTTAGGGTTTAGGGGGGAACATCCCAACATCCTCGACTCTCTTCGCTCTGTCGGGCACTGCGAGAGCAACCTCCGCTCGAAAAGGAGACGGCCCTGTAGGGAATCATGCAGAATAAGACCCCCAAGTCCCTATTCACCCCCCGAAAACCCTCTTCCGATTAGTTAGGCCCCTAAACCCTAAACCCTAAACCCTAAATCCTAAACCCTAAACCCTAAACCCTAAATCCTACACCCTAAACCCTAAACCCTAAACCCTAAACCCTAAACCCTAAACCCTAAACCCTACCACCACCTGAACTTGTTTTGACCCACAGGCCTCCGGTCGGACCAAGTCGCCTCAAGGGACGGAGTCTCCCACTTGGGGCTATATAAGGGTTAAGGGTTCGGGGTTAAGGGCTTAGGGTTAAGGGTTTAGGGTTAAGGGCTTAGGGTAAAGGGTTAAGGGTTAAGGGTTTAGGGTTTGGTTAGGTCTGAAGCCAGGGTTTCGGGTTTAGGGCTTCGGTTTTCAGATTTCTCTTAGGGTTCTCCCTTAGTATGGCCCCTTAGCAGGGGACGCCTTATATACCCCAAGGTTAAACCCTGAAACCCTGAACCCTAAGCCTTAAACCCCAAACCCTGAACCCGAACAGGGTTCGGGCTTTTAACATCTCAGCGTGCGGGGGTGACAGCGTTTGGGGCATGGGCTGCGCAGTTCGGATGCTTTTTGGGCCCAATCCAGGCGAAACTCCACATCCCAACCTTACACCCCAAAGGCTTAGAACGCCAACTCCTTGAGCCAAAGCCCTGGAACCCTAAGCCCGAAGCCCTAAACCTGAAGCCATGAAGGCCACATATACAAACCCTAAGCCTTGAGCCATAAGCCTACAATGCCCTCAACCCTAGAAGTCGAAACGGGTTTAGGGTTTAGGGTTTAGGGTTTAGGGTTTAGGGTTTAGGGTTTAGGGTTTAGGGTTTAGGGTACCCTGAACCCTAAACCCACAAACCCTAAACCCACAACATTCTAAGCCCATAATCCCTTCACAACCCAGGGGGGACTGCGAGCCAAATATTAGTCAGCACTATAAACTCCCTAAAAACCTCAACAAAACTATATCAACCCTGTCAAGGACATGAATCACATTAAGGATAATGACAATCAATATAAACTATAAAAAGCCCTAAGCCCTCAACCCTAAGCCCCATACCCTGAAGTTTTGCTTCTGGCGTTTCTCTGAATGCCTTACTGTTGGTTGGTTTTGAATGGGGTACCCTATATAAAGCCCTTAAAGTGCATATATAGGGTTTAGGGTTTAGGGTTTAGGGTTTAGGGTTTAGGGTTTCCCTACTAACCAACAGTAGGATGCTTTGGAGACATCCCGCGGGCCTGCGATCGTGGTGGTCACCAGCCCGCTGACCCGCTGGACGCGGTTGTTGCCGGTGTCCTCGGAGTCGGGTTTAGGGTTTAGGGTTTAGGGTTTAGGGTTTAGGGTTTAGGGTTTAGGGCTTAGGGTTCAGGGTTCCCAAGCTCAGCTGGGTGATTTAGTGGCTGTAGGGTTTAGGGCTACCAGGGTCAGGGTGATTTGCGGGTTGCAGGGCTTCGGGTTTAGGAGGAGGGGCCCACTGACTATACTAACTGTTTTAGGGTTTAGGGTTTAGGTTGAGGGTTTAGTGCTTAGGGACTTATAACTTAATTTAGGATCCTTATAACTCAATTCAGGGCCCTTATAGCTCTACTTAGAACTAGGGGGCCCCTCCTGGTAGGATTGAGGGTTACAGGGAGGCAACAGCTGAGGGCCAGGCTGTGGTCCTGCGGAGTCTGACATTTAGGGTACCTGAAGGCTCCAATGCAGTTCCTTCTTGGGTTAGTTTTAGGGGGCTTTTGTACATTTCACCACAAATGAACTTTCTCAGGAAACATTAGGGTGCACATGAATTATAGATAAGGGCGATCAGCACCAAGGATCAGCAATGAACACCTCGCCCGCCAAGTTGACGAATACGCCGTGCGGGTCTCGCAACTGGTATAGACCTGTCTGTCACTGCTGACTAAAAACCCTAGACCTTAAGAACCCTAAACCTAAATGTTTGTGGCTTACCTATGAATCCAATAGGGGTCTTCTTTATAGCAACCTACAAAAATGTATGTTTGCAGGTTGCTAAGGTATGACCTTAAAGCCCCCGAGGTGTCGAGCATGCCACAACATACGCGGCTGACCTGTGGGAAGCTTGCGTGCCTTCTTCATGGGAAGCCCAAATCAGCTTAGGGTTTACCTCGAACCACCCCAAGAAACAAAGTGGACTTGCTAAGCCCCAAACACTAGAGCCCCCCCCCCCCCCCCCTTAAAGCACAACGTGGGCTTAAGGACAAGGCCCCTGGACTGCACTGAGAGCTTAGGATTTTGGAACGCAAGGGTTGAAGTGCTCAGACCCCTGAACCCTCATGAGCCCTGATGAAACCTCCTACTGTCGAAACACTATACCACACAAAAGCAAACCCTAAGGCCTAAACCCTGAACCCCAAACAAACCCGAACTAACACTCGAAGGAAACTCCGCGAAGCCTTGATGTCATTCTCCTGTCTGCGGTGTCGAAACCCTGATGGTAAGCTGAAGTCAACCCCACAACTTAACCCAACAAGTTACCCTGTAAGCCCCAAAACCCAAAGCCCCAAAACCCAAAACCCACAACCCAAAACCCAAAACCCTCTAAAAAACCCTTAACCTAAACCCTAAACCCTCTAAAAAACCCTTAACCTAAACCCTAAACCCTCTAAAAAACCCTTAACCTAACGATTCGCCACCTGGCCCGCCGCGGCAGCAGGTGGACTCGTAGCCACGGATCTGCCCCTGCCGATCCTGTTTAGGGTTTAGGGTTTAGGGTTTAGGGTTTAGGGTTTAGGGTTGAATCTGTGATGGATTTAGGGGTTTGCGCTTTCTGAAATTCTTAGGGCTCGCGCAAAAGCTCCCTTCTTAGCGGCTCACGCAAAAGCTCCCTTTTTTGGGGTCGTATCCTAGACCCCTAACCCTAAACCCTAAACCCTAAACCCTAAACCCTAAACCCTAAACCCTAAACCCTAAACCCTAAACCCTAAACCCTAAACCCTAAACCCTAAACCCTAAACCCTAACCCAAGAAGGAACTACATTGGAGACTTCTGGCAAGCCACAGGGTGGGGCTACGGGGCTATTGCAAGGGTCGAGGACAAAGCTTTGCAAAGCAAACCCAGGGCATGCAAGGAACGCAGCATCGAGCAATTCTAGCTCACGGCCACACTCTGCGCAGTGCAGGGGCCTTCATAATTAGAGAAGGGTTTCGGGGGTTATTACAGCATAACTATCTAGGGACCACAAGGAAGAACATTAGTAATGAATCCGACCCCTATATTGCAGTTTTTGTGCCGTGGCGTGCTGTAAGAACTGGATGGAGATCCTGAAACCCCAGTCTGCAAACCCCTATCAACCCTGAGCCCTACATGACCCTAAACCATGCAGTTTGTGGTTGGAAGCAACCTTCAAGCGCTAAACCCTAAACGCTAAACGCTAAACGCTAAACGCTAAACGCTAAACGCTAAACGCTAAACACTAAACCCTAAACCCTAAACCCTAAACCCTAAACCCTAAACCCAAACAGTAGGGTTCTGAAAGAAGCTGCTTTGGGCTTAGGGGCTTCCACAACCGTGAGAAACCAAGCCGGGTTTCGGTTTTTTCAAGGCTGAAACCCTAGCTCCCCCTAAACCCTATACTAAAATAAGGGACCCGTAACATCAACCCCCAAATAGTCGGACTCCCTTATTATCAGGACCCCAATAAGGTACCCCTGATTTCGAAAACCCCTCTCAATGTTTGGAGCAAGGCACGTAAAGGACGCCAAGCTCCCCAGCAATGAGCACGCCAGTGGAGGCCCCTGCAGTAACGTTTGTTTGAAGGGTTTAGGGTTTGGGGTTTGGGGTTTAGGTTCAGGGCTAGTAGGAGTTGTGGGGGTGTAGGCGTTTAGGTTTCCGGGTATTTACATGCTGGTCCTTAATTGCGAATCATGTCCCCCAATGCAATCCCTTGAAGGGTTTTATAGGGGGGGGTGATGCAGTCTTAACTCCTACTAACTAAGAATCCTAAACCCTAAACCCTAAACCCTAAAACCTAAACCATAAACCCGAACAAGGGGTATTGCGACAATGACCTACGAAGGTGCAGGCTTCGGGTTCTAAGAAGTTAAGGTAGGATCCTGGGGTTCAGTGTTGCAGGCTTACAAGGAGGGGCCCCCTTACTATACTAACTGTTTAGGGTTTAGGGTTTAGGGTTTAGGGCTTAGGGTTTAGGGACTTATAACTTAATTTAGGATCCTTATAACCCAATTTAGGGTCTTTATGACTCTACTTATAACTAGGGGGGCCCCTTTCTTGTAGGGTTGAAAGGGTGGAAGGGGTCAAGGGGGGGGGGGGTTAGGGTTTAGGGTTATAAGGGCTGAACTTAAACCACTGTGAACCAAACCACACACAGCCCTGAACCCTAAACCGCCTCGCCCTTAAAAAACCCTAAACCCTAAAGCCTAAACCCTAAACCCTCAGTGTGAGGACCTAAGGGGTGCTTCGGATGTTTCTTGGAACTTGAGGGTTTAGGGTTTAGGGTTTAGGGTTTAGGGTTTAGGGTTTAGGGTTTAGGTTGCCTGCGGCGATGTCCCAACGAACGATGCGGTTGTTGCCACTGTCGGCCACAAAGAGGCCTCATGGTTTTAAGGGTAGCTACATGGTCCCTTAGTATGGGCCCTTTAAAGGGGGTTACCCCTTCTGTACTGCCCTCAAAAGGCCTTTAGGGTTCAGGGTTTTGTGGGGGCCTTTCAGGCGTAGGGCTCTTTAGGGTTTCGGGGATTCGGGGCTCTTTAGGGGTTTCAGGGCTCTTTAGGGGTTTCAGGGCTCTTTAGGGCTTCAAGGCTCTTTAGGGTTTCAGGGCTCTTGCGGGTTTCAGGGCTCTTTAGGGTTTAGGGTGCTCGGGTTCGGGGCTTTGGGGTTGAGAGCTTTGGGGTTTGGGGCTTAAGGGTTTCGAGCTCTAGGCATGACTCTTAGGGCTTAGGGCAGGAGGGTTTGGGGCAGGATTTCACGGCCTGAGGGCTTGAAGGTTTATTTCGTATCACGCTCTTATCCCAAGTTGCCGAGGTGAGGGTTTGCTTTCGACTCATTGCTTTACTTGCATTAACTCACAGATTGTTCTGCGCACCCGACAAGCCTAACTCATGATGTGGAGCAGAAGACTCTTCCCATAGCAACAAAGACCAACAACCCCCCAAAAACCCATGGCCCCAAACCCGAACCTCTATAGAACTGAAGCCTCAACGCCTTATACTAACAGTCCTTAGTGAGGATTATAATAGGGGGGGTGCTAGAATTCCTTACAAGGGTGAACATCCCAACCCTAAACCCGAGGACCCTTGGGTCGCGGCGGCCCGACGTGTCCAGGAAGATCCCACGGGGGAATCGCAGCTGATCCAGGCCTGCACAGGCGTTTGGGCCGCGTTCCCAGAACCCTAAACCCTGGGTTTGGGGTTTGGGGTTTGGGGTTTAGGGTTTAGGGTTGGTTTGGGGTTTAGGGCTTAGGGTTGAGGGTTGGGTTTGGCCCGAGGACAAGCAGAACGGAGACAAGAGGATCCAGTCCCTTAGGCCCCAGGCTTTCAACCAGAAGAGCGGCTTAGAATTGTGACCCTCGCAGGGCTTCTAGGAATACTACCCTTGAAGGGGCTGTATAGGATACCTCATTCCCGCATGCCCTACTGCGAACTAGTACCTTAAGAAGCCGAAACCTAAAGGGAACCCTTTTATAATCACGACCACAAAACGAGAACCTAGTTTAGAGAACAGCCCATTTGGAACCCTAAAACCGAAACCCGGAGCCCTAAACTCCAACTCATTTAGGGTCTCGGCTCGCATAGCACTCTCGGCTTTCTGAGACTGAGCCGGCCCTCCAACAACACTGGCACGTTCCAGGGCTCCGGGCGCTTTGGGCTCCTTAAGGTTGAGGGTTGAGGTTCAGGGTTCAGGGTTCAGGGTTCAGGGTTTAGGGTTTCGGGTTTAGGGTTAGGTTTCAGGGTTGAGACAGTTTGGGGCGTCGGTTTTAGGGTTGGTGTCCTGCCTCCCCCGGCGATCAGGCCCCCGGCCACGGTCTCCACCACTTGGGAGCCGGGCATCCACTTCCTTCTCAATGGGTTGAGGGTTTAGGGCGTACGAGTAGGTTAGGGTTTGGCGCTTGGGGCTTAGGGGGTGTAGGGTTTAGGGTTTAGGCCATGCCCAAACGAGACACCCTCTAGCCCCGACTTCCAACGCCTCCATTCGGATGCTTTTGAAACTTGCTTCCCAAAGAACCTCTTAATTGAGAAACATGCTCAACCCTCAAGCCTAAACCCTAAAACCTAAACCCTAAACCCGAAACCCTAAAACCTAAACCCTAAACTCTCAAACCTAAACCCTAAACCCTCAACCCTCAACCCTAAAACCTAAACCTTTTACCTGAAAACCAGAGCCCGGCACACTTTAAGGGTCTGTTCCTCAACTAGAGGTTCTAGGCTGCCAAGTAACCGAAGCTTAAAAAGGGTGCCCTTTTTTGCTTAGAGGGGTTTATAAGGGAACCTAACCCCCCCAAAAAGGGAATAAGGGTACTACTGGGCATCCTAGGGTTTTGCTATAATATCTACAAAAAAAAACCCACTGGCCCCAACAACAGCACACGCTGTGTCTAGTGCCCGGGTTTCGGTGAGACAAGTGCGCACTGTTGGGTTTCCGCCGATCAAACATACAATGGCCGAGAAAAAGCCAACCCTAACCCTAAACCCTAAACCCTAAACCTTAAACCCTAAACCCTAAACCCTAAACCCTAAACCCTAAACCAGAAACCGACCGAACATGAAGCTATGCTGTCGAGTCTTGGATTCACACGAAGCTGCGCTGTTGCTTGCGTCTTGGAATAGGCATTTGCAGATCAACGCCCCACATTGTGCAAACTAAACACCTAAACCCTAAAACCCTACAACCCTTCGTCCCTAAGCCCGCAAACCCAGTAAGCCCCAAGCAGCGTGCTGCTGGGGGTCCTTGATAGCCCAGAAACCACATTAACAATCAAGGGGTGCCCTTTTGGGAGGGGTTGGCTCACTTTAGAAGAAACAACCTAGGAAGCAACATGAAGGGCAAAAGGGTTTCGGGTTTAGGGTTTAGGGTTTGGGGTTTGGGGTTTAGGGTTTAGGGTTTAGGGCTACCAAGGGTCTGAATGCGATGGTTCATCATGTCTGAGACGTACGTAGCGCCAGTGGCCTCATCCCGTACCACCTCTGGCTGCGGAGGCTGGGAAACTGCAACTTGAAGGGTTTAGGGTTTAGGGTTTGGGGTTTGGGGTTTGGGGTTTGGGGTCTGGGGTTGAGTTTTTTTGGGGTTTAGGGTTTAGGGCTAGAGAAACGATAGTAGGTTCTAGGGTTGGGGGCTTCGCGGCTGCCAGGCACTCGAGCTCAAGATGCGCAGAGAAGTCAGATCAGCTGGCAATAGCTTCAGCAGAATGTCCAAAAGAACCGTTCCCGTCGGCAAGTAGTGGGGCCGGGGGGTTTACGAAAACAAGGGGCCCTTAACATAAACCCCCAAGTAGCAGGATTCCTGTATGACCCCAATCAGGTACCCCTAATGTCGGAAACCCCCTAGTAGCAGTAGTGGTGGGAATAGCAGGTCGCCGTAGCCGTAGTAGTCGTACTAGACACCACAATTATGTCCCAAGCAGCCCTGGCTGACAAGGTCTAACCCTGCTAGTGGACCCTATACACACTCAAGTCTCAGCGAACAGCAACTTAAGCCAACCGATGCTGAACCCGTGGTCGGTAAGGGCCATACTAAGGGTTCCCCTAAACCCTAAACCCTAAACCCTAAACCCTAAACCCTGAACCAAGCGACGTCATAAGGCCGGGAGAGCTGCTGGTCCGCGTTGCCTGATTAGGGTTTAGGGTTTAGGGTTTAGGGTTTAGGGTTTAGGGTTTAGGGTTTAGGTTTAGGGTTTAGGGTATATAGGACCTCAGGACCTCGGACGCATTGGGGAGGGCTGCGGAGGTTGGGGGTTTCTCATGGGTCTCTACTTTGGACCCCCCAGTATGACTCCCTTGAGTTTATGGCTTTTAGAGTAGATGGCATTTTGGGTTCTAGAGGTTGAAGTGAGGTTCGGAGTTCGTTTGGCTTTTTTTTTGTGTTGCTTCGGACCATACAGTTGGTCCAAGTCTTGGGGCCAGCTATCTAAGGACCCCAAACCACAAACCACAAACCACAAACTCCAAACCCCAAACCCTAAACCCTAAACCCTAGACTCAATAAACCCTCAAGAGCTGCTAGTCCCACACCGTAATGCAACCCAATCCCAAACCCTCCAAGCCCCCCGGAACCCGCACACCCATAGACCGCCTAGATCCAAACCCTAACCTGAACCCAGAACCCTAAACCCTGAACCAGACCCAAAGACCTGAAATCCTCAAGTCCCCACTCACGGGAAGTGCCATACGCCCGTGAAGCAAACCCTAAACCCCCAAACCCGAAAGCACGCAGCCCACAAAAGCCCTGCAACCCTGAAAGACAAAGACCCTAAACCCTGAACCCTAAACCCTAAACCCTAAACCCCTAACCCCTAAACCCTAAACCCTAAACCCTGAGCGCGACAGAAGTCGACCGTAAGCTTCCCCTGCGGTTCCGTTTTGGGGGTTTAAGGGTTAGGGTTTAGGGCGTAGGGCTTAGGTGGGTTTAGGGTTTGGGCTTAAGGTCACTGTAGGGCTTGTGCAAAAACATGGAAACCCGCCAGAAAATTGGTGTTCCGGACGAAGAAGGCGGACGGAATCTTCAGACTCTTAACAAGAAGCCCTTAAACTCCAAAGGCAGTTACATGGTCCCTTGGTATGGGCCCTGAAAAGGGGACTCCTTATATACCCTATAGAACCCAAGGGCCTTACTTCAGAACCCTTTAAGGGAGGCCAGGGACCATATTAAGAACCAAGGTAACTACCTTAAGATACACCCCAAGCCCTGGCCCCTGTGAACCCCAAACCCCAAACCCCAAATCCTAAGCACCAAACCCTAAACCCCAAACCCTAAACCCCAAACCCCAAACCCCAAACCCTAAACCCCAAACCCCAAACCCCAAACCCCAAACCCCAAACCCTAAACCCCAAACCCTAAACCCTAAACCCTAAACCCTAAACCCTAAACCCCATTGCCTTGGTGCCAACCTCCGGCCAGCAGGTCGATCGGATACACCGTCTTCCTTGGGTCTTGGATTCAAGGCTCCGGGCTTGCAGAGGTGTTAGGAGTAAGTAGGGTTTAGGGTTTAGGGTTTAGGGTTTAGGGTTTAGGGTTTAGGGTTTAGTGTAAGTAGGGTTCTGTTAAAGGTAGAGGCAGGCCCCCAACTTCCAAGGACCCCCCGACTCCCAAGTAGGGTTTAACTTTTAGTGTTTAGGGTTTTTTGGATCCTTGAGGGGGCTTTTCTTTTAAGGGTTCAGAAGGGCTGATAAGACATGAACTTCTAACCCTAAACCCTAAACCCTAAACCCTAAACCCTAAACCCTAAGGCTCTATTGGGCCTAAGGTTTACCCCAGGTTGTACATGTTTCCTCGAAGAATTCACCTCCGCGAGCGCGCGGGGCAAAACCGGGAGGCCACGGCTGGGGCATTCATGAATCCCATCCCCCTACCCCCTAATATTAAGGGTTTAGGGTTTAGGGTTTAGGGTTTAAAACCCCCAATATACCATAATATAACTATAATGGGGGGGGGGTTTTAATATTGAGGGGTAGGGGGGGGGTTTTAATGAAGGGATTACATTGAGGGTATCGCGTGTGGGGTTAGGTATCGCTTTGCCAATAGAACTGCACTGCCAAGTCCTGGGCACCATGGGGCACTCTTAACCAGCCGAGTTCAAGCCGAATGCACTGCATCTGCAAGGTAATCAACTCAAGTTATGATGATAAAACTGACTCGTATCTGGGGGCTATCGCTTTTGGGGTTAGGCGTCGCTTTCGCAGCAAATTTGCAAATGTCCCGCCCAAGGCTACCCAGAGAGGCGCGGGATTTAGCCAGTCGCGAAGTTCTAGAGTCTAGATGGTCGGGTTCGGAAAGCTTGAGGGATGTAGGCACCCCAAACCCGAAACCTTCAACCCTAAACCCTAAACCCTAAACCCTAAACCCTGAACCCTAAACCCTAAACCCCAGGCACCTTTATGGCTTCAGGTATTGAAGGGGGCGTGGTTTTCAGGTTTTTGGAGTTCGGAGTTGAGGACTGTGGGGGAGCTGTTAGGAGTCCCCACCCTTTGGGGGGGTGTAGGGTTGAGGAATCATAGTGTTCGGGGTTTAGGGTTTAGGGTTTAGGGTTTAGGGGCAGGGTTTCAATTTAAGGGTTTCTAGGATGTAGGGTTTCGGGTGTGTAGGGTTGGGGGCTTCAGAGTGTAGGGATTAAAGGGCACAGTCGGCATTTATTAAAGGGGCTCCATACTTCTTGGTAGCCAAGCAACCATATTACCACAAGGGTCCCCTTTTTGGGGGGTTGGTTACTTTATACGGGAACCTTGAACCAAAAAAGTGCTAAAGGGTGCCGCTGGGCTAACAAGCCCCCTAAAGCCTAAACCCTAAACCCTGAACCAAAATTATTGTTCGTCAGAGAAAAACAGTTTCTGGTTCGACCGCTTGAGACATCCATGACATCCAACACAATGCGCCCGTTTTTTCGCGACACCCGCTTTACGGGATTTGGGTTTAGGGTTTAGGGTTTAGGGTTTAGGGTTTAGGGTTTAGGTTTAAGGTTTGCAGTGAAGGTCCCCCCCCCCCCCCCCCCCCCCCCCGCGCAAAAAACAATGTAATGGTTACGGTGGTTGATCTACATGATGGACCCTTCTCGTTTCCTGGACCTGTATGGAAAATCTACTTGTTGCAACTACGGGGTATTTGGTGCCCCGAGACCCTAAATGGAAACCACAAGGACCCTGCAACAGTCACATGATGGACACAGGGTCCACATCATGGAAATTTGACTGACCCTCCGAAACCTTATGAACCCTAAATGCAGGTGTGCTGCTTCTGAAGGCTCAGCTTGCGAGGTTTGCGCCTAGGCAAGCAGTGGGGTTTGCAACCCATACGGAACCCTACATAGGGTTCAGGGTTTAGGGTTGTAGGCTCTACAAGGACGGGCCCCCTTACTCTACTAACCGTACTTAAGGGACTTATCACCTAATTTAGGATCCTTATAACCCAATTTAGGGCCCTTATAACTCTACTTATAACTGGGGGGCCCCTCCTTGTAGGGGGTTTACGGCTTGCGGAACCCTACATAGGGTTCAGGGTTTAGGGTTAGGGTTTAGGGTTTAGGGTTTAGGGTTTAGGGTTTAGGGTTTAGGGTATAGGGTTTAGGGTTTAGGGTTTAGGGTTTAGGGTTTAGGGTTTAGGGTTTAGGGTTTAGGGTTTAGGTTTGGGGCTTTCATGCGTTCATGAGAGGTTTCGGGCCTGCCGTGCGTTCGCAGCCTGGAAGGCCGGCCCTATGTCAAAGATGTTGTCATCGCAGCCCGCACCTAAACCCTAAACCCTAAACCCTAAACCCTAAACCTAAACCCTAAAGCCCGGAACCCCCGAAACCCTCTGCACCCTGAACTTCCTCAAGTCTTTAACAACCCTTCGATCTACAAAAACTACTATTTGCTTAAAAACCACCAAAAAAGCAAGATGTTTTTCCAGTAGGGATTATGTTTCTTCATATTGGGGAATCTTAAGCAAGTCGCAGCAAAATCATATACCACACCACCACCTCTAAACCCTAAACCTTAAACCTTAAACCTAAACCCTAAACCCTTAACCCTCAACCCTAAACCCTAAACCCTAAACCCTGAACCCTAAACCAGCTTGACTGTGAGCGGCCCAACATGTTCCCCAAGCGCTCTATTCTGCCATTTGCGTAAGAAAATGAAAAAACGTCTCCCTTGTACAAGGAGGGCCCCCCCTTACTAGACTGTTAAGGGACTTGTAACCTATTTTAGGATCCTTATAACCCAATTTAGGGTCGTCATAACTCTACTTATAACTAGGGGGCCCCTCCTTGTAAGTGTATGGATTGTTATCCTTTATGTCTGGGGGGGGGGGGGGGGGGGTGTTCTTAAACAAATAGTAGTATTGTCACAAAACAAATAGTAGTATTGTCACAAGCCCTGAGATACAAAGCCGAAAACCCACAAGCCTTTTCATATCCTAAACCTGAATCCCCGAACCCCACAAACCCTAAACTGGCGGAGGAATCCAGGAGCCGCCAAAACCGAGACCGCGACAAGGGCTCCGAGTCCTCATCGCCAGCGGGATGCGCAATCTCCCTGGTATCCTCGACCACGCTGCTGAGTTGAGAGTTGTCAAGGTGTTTGGGGAGTTTGGGTGGGGGGTTTGGGTGGGAAGGGGACTTAGAGGAGTTGAGCTCTAAAGCCCAAAATAAAAAGCTAAACCCTAAACCCTAAACCCTAAACCCTAAACCCTAAACCCTAAACCCTAAACCCTAAACCCTAAACCCTAAACCCTAAACCCTAAACAACAATCCCTAAACCCTAAACCCTAACCCGAAACCTTGGCGGGCAGGGTGTGGGATGTAAGGTTGGGGGTTGAGGGTTTAGGGTGTTCAACGCAACCTTGTTTCCCGAAGGGTCCATGTACCTATATACGTCTGAACGATATGTGCCGCATTGTGAACCTCCAGACTGACATGTAATACGTCCCAAGGCCACGAATCTGCTCTTGGAGTCCTAAACCCTAAACCCTAAACCCTAAACCCTAAACCCTAAACCCTAAACCCGCGACGTCATGCCCCGCCTCTTCACGGGCTTCCGGCAACCTCGCTGCCGAAGGCGTGTGGTAAGTCAGCTCCTGGTTTAGGGTTTAGGGTTTAGGGTTTAGGGTTTAGGGTTTAGGGTTTAGGGCTGTTCAAAAAAAATCACTCTGTACCCGAAACCCAGTGTTGGGGCGCGTATGGTGTGTTTAGGATAACCCCTCAGCCGGGATAGGCCCAGGCTCCACACCCGCCCCCAAAAGCTAATTGCTGCGAGCCTGGTCCGGGGAAAAAAAGGAAAAAGGAAAAACGTTTGTTCGAACCGGGTGCCCAAACAAATCCTGGGTGGGGGGAGGGGACGAAAGTCACGCCCACCTTATACACCCCCGTATCGAAATACTTAAGTCTGAACGGCGTTAGAAGTGTGCAACAGCAGGAAGGTGGGTTTAGGGTTTAGGGTTTAGGGTTTAGGGTTTAGGGTTTAGGGTTTAGGGTTTAGGGTTTAGGGTTTAGGGTTTAGGGTTTAGGGTTTAGGGTCTCAAAACCTCCAGTGGATTGCGAGTCGCGTGCTGCTTAGAATCTACGGGGGTTCAAGGTACGAGCTTGAGGTTCATTTTGGCTCAGGGTTAGGGTTTAGGGTAGGGTGTAGGGTTTAGGGTTTAGGATTCAGGGTTTGCTTGGGATCGGACAGGGCTATTAAGTGAAGATAGGCTCCTTCGTGTCCTGGTTTGCTTACGATTTTTTGGGTTCAGGTAGAGCTTGAGGCGGGTAGAGACCGAGGCTTATCCAGGTTCACGTTGGCTTGGGGCTTACAGATGTTTACCCAGACCCCTTGAAAAACTCCAAAAAGTAGCCCCCAAAGCGTAGTTACCCTATACTACTATTGTGTCATTCTTAGGAAACCCCAAACCCCTAAACCCTAAACCATGAACCCTCAAGGGACCTATTTTTTTCCTCCAAGAGGTCTGGGTAAGGGTTACAGAAGGCATTGCGGATGTTCGCCTGGGGAAAGCCCGTCCTAGCAACATCAAGCCCGGGGGGTTTAGGGTTTAGGGTTCAGGGTTTAGGGCTAGGGTTCAGGGAGGAGCTACAACTTAGTAAACAAAGGCCTGCATCCGAACTGCCCTAATTAAGCTCCTTCCCCGACCTACATGAACAATCGTCCCTAAGCTAGCTACAGCAGGTTTAGGGTTTAGGGTTTAGGGTTTAGGGTTTAGGGCTTCAAGCTCTGGCGACGCCGAGCCCGTTCTCCTCACCGTGCTTTGGGTACTTAGCTTGGCTGAGCGACTCGAGGAGGTCCTGAGCTGGCACGTCATATCGAACCAAAAAACGTATATGAAAAAAGGGTTTAGAGTTTAGGGTTTAGGGCTTAGGGTTTAGGGTTTAGGGTTTGGGGTTTGGGGTTTAGGGTTCAGGGTTTAGGGTTTTGGGTGTACGGGTTGAGGTGTGGGGTTTGGGGCGAACAAAGTCCTGTGGCTCTTCGGAACAACAGACGCAGGACCCTGCTTAACGGAGATTCAAGAATGAGTCCTGCAGTCGCAGCGTTTCAGGGTCCGCGGTGTAGGGCGGCAGGCTCTGGGTTCATGGATTATCCCCTAAACCCTAAGCCCTAAACCCTAAACCCTAAACCTTATAAACCCTAAACCCTATATCATGTAAGCAGGATCACTGGTATGTTTTCCGCTTCTTTCGTGGCTACTTCTTCAACGACTGCAGCAGAGCAGACTTTGTGACCAAGCGTGCCCCGGTTCCCTTTCCATACCCGCGGCAGACATCCAATCTCACAAGGGCTTGGGAAAGTTCAGGGTTTATAGGGTTTAGGACTTTGGAGAGCTTGGGTATTTAGGGGTCTGAAACCTAGCCTGCAACCAAAAACGACCCGGGCAAACAACGACGAGGACCGGGGCGGCGACGGCAACGACGCCATAAAGCTAAGGAAGGCGCAGGCAGCAGGAGAGACGCCAAGTTTGAAGGAACCTATAAACTGGATACCTGGTTGCTTCTTAACCCCCCCCAAATTTAATTTAACTTTTACTCCCATAATATGAAATAAGAGGAAACCCAAAACTTATAAAGTGATAAAGCTGTAGTAAAGTCCCGCCTAAACCCTAAACCCTAAACCCTAAGCCCTAAACCCTAAACCTTAAACCTACCTAGATTTATCTGAAGGGAAAACCAGGTGTCCTGGAGCAAGGCATCCGGATCCGCAGCAACCTCATCGTCCCCTGTGGCGTTTGTGAGGTTTAGGGTTTAGGGTTTAGGGTTTGGGGGTTTAGGGTTTACGATCCATGTGGGAGGGGGGGGGGGGGGGTGTGAGCTTCGTGGCGGGCCCTAATTATCTTTATCTTTGCTTCTCAGAACCTTAGAAATCCACAAATTGAATGCTTGTATATTCTTTTCCTGGACGACGCAGCGAAAGCCTAACAACAATTCGAGCCACGGTTTTGGGTTTAGGGATTAGGGATTAGGGATTAGGGTTTAGGGTTTAGGGTTTAGGGTAACCTGCCGCGATGCTGAGCTCTTGCAGCTTCTTGATTCTCAAGTGTTTTGGGCCCCATCTGTCATCAGACACTGAATCCATGAATGTTGCGGGTTTTCGGTCTAGGGTTTAGACCCCCGCCTCTCTCTCTCTCTATATATATATATATTCAGGTATAACTGATGTAGCATCTTCTTTGAAGGGGGTTCTATAGGGGATTGCTAGGGGTCTCAGGCACCTCAGTCCCAAATTTCCCATTTTAACAATCACCGTGGGGTTTCGGGTTCAGGGCCTATAGGGCTTTGCTTCAAGACCTCGGACTCTGAAGAGTTTGTTTTTTTTGGCTTAGGCTCCCGGACTCTTAAGGTATCAGGGCTTAAGGGCTTGCTTAGGGGCTAGGGGTTTGTTTGAGGGTCTGGGTTTGAGGTTTGAGCTTCCCAAGAGAACATGCCATGAGAACCCGAAACCCTAAACCCTAAACCCTAAACCCTAAACCCTAAACCCTAAACCCTAAACCCTAAACCCTAAACCCTAAACCCCGAAAAAGGAGGAGACACCAGTCGACCCTCAAGCCCTCGATCCTACAAGCTCCGAAGGACTCCTAAGTCCTCAAACCCAAAACCCAAAAACCCCGAAACTCCAAACCCTCAACACCTAAACTAAACCCCTAAACCCCAGGTGAAACCCCAAACCCTAAACCCTAAACCCTAAACCCTAAACCCTAAACCCTAAACCCTAAACCCTAAACCCTAAACCCTAAACCCTGAACCCTGAACCCTAAACCCTAAGTGACCAGACCCTGCCTGGCTCAGTCCCTGGGTGCGGCCCCATGGCTTCAAGTGGGTCCTCAGAAGCGGGGCGCAGTGAAGAAGGGAGGGTTTAGGGTTTAGGGTTTAGGGTTTAGGGTTAGGGGGTTTAGGGGGTTTAGGGGGTTTAGGGGGGTTTAGGGGGTTTGGGGGGTTTAGGGGGTTTAGGGGGTTTAGGGGGTTTAGGGGGTTTAGGGGGTTTAGGGGGTTTAGGGGGTTGAGGGGGTTTAGGGGGTTGAGGGGGTTTAGGGGGTTTAGGGGGTTTAGGGGGTTTAGGGGGTTGAGGGGGGGTTTTAGAGGTTATAGGGCGTAGGAGCTTTGGCTGTTGCGGGGTTTCGGGGGTGTGGCGGCTCAGTTCTCTACGGAGATGGGTCGGCCTATGGGTTGTTTCAGGGATTGAAGTCCCCAAAATGGATCTAGCGCTTAGTGTTTCGGGTGGATTGTAGTGTTATGATTTGTTTTTTTGTGTGTGGGGGGGGGGGGGGATTTTAGAGGTCAGCCAGAACGCGTCTTCTTGGCTTCGGGGTTTGGGTGCCAATTTTCTTGGCGTGAGGGGTCATGACGTATCGGTGCACTGAGAAGCTTCGCAGCAAAGCTGTTTGTCGAGTGATTGGTAGAGTTTAGGGTTAAGAGGAGTCCATTAGACTGAGCCGAGTGGCAACCCCCCCCTCCCCGGTTTAGGGTTTTAGGGTCCCCCCCCCCCCCTTCCCCCCCCGCCCCCCCCCCCCTTCCCCCCCCCCCCCCCCCCCCCCCCCGCCCCCAAACCCGTCCCGTCCTCAACCGGGGCCTCGGATGACGGCTGGCTGCCGTCACCTGCTATGGGTTCATACTGGAGGTTTGTCACACAAGGTGTGGCAGGGTCCCATGTCGAACCCAAAACCCGAAACCCTAAAACCCAAACCCTAAACGCTGAACCTTAAACCCTAAAACCCTAAATCCTAAACTCCAAACCCTGAACCCAAACCCTGAACCATCCTTACAACCTAGGAATTCAGAGGCTGCTGGGTTCTCGAAGCCCTATAAACCCGAAGCCCCAAGCCAAAACCCTGAACCCTAAACCCCAAACCCTAAACCCTAAACCCCTAAACCCTAAACCCTAAACCCCTAAACCCTAAACTCTAAACCCCAAACCCTAAACCCTAAACCCTGGGGTGTCAGTGCTCCCCAGCCACCTCCAGGTTCCTCAAGCTTGCCACGGCCGTCCTGCGTAAGGGTTTGGGGTTTAGGGTTTAGGGTTTCGGGTTTAGGGTTTCGGGTTTCGGGATCATTACTCAGGAATGTGGGTTCAACCCTAAACCCTAAACCCTAAACCCTAAACCCTAAACCCTAAACCCTGAACCCTCTGTCATAAGACAGAACTCCCTGAACTTTCTTGGTATCTGTGAATACCTGAAGTCCGTTGCTTGAGCCCAACTTGGACCTAAACCCTAAACTCTAAACCCTAAACCCTAAACCCTAAGTCCCAAACCCGAAGAAGGATGACGGAATTTGCAAAGGGGGTGGTATCCTCATAAGGATCGCGAAAGCAATTCCCCAATCCTACAAACCCGCAGCAGCACCAACCTAGAGCGGCCCTTTTGTGTTTAAAGGGGTGGGTTTAGGGTTTGGGGTTTGGGGGTTTTAGGGTTTTCGGGTTTAGGGCTGAGGCGGGGGGGAACAAAGGGAAGCAAGGGGACCCACCCTAAGTTATTTAGACTCAGCTACACCAAGCCCTACCACAAGCTGGCCCCAATCAACCCTAAACCCTAAACCCTAAACCCTAAACCCTAAACCCTAAACCCTAAACCCTAAACCCTAAACCCTAAACCCTAAACCCTAAACCCTAAACCCTAAACCCTAAACCCTAACCCTAAACCCTAAACCCTAAAAACCCCAGAGCCTAAACCCTCTCATCCTCATGGGAAACGCCGGAGACGCCATCCAGCTTCTCGGACTCATCTCGCCTCGGGAGAAGAAGGCACGAAGGAGAGGAGGGGTTGTAGGGGATGCGGAGTGTGGGCCCTTAATTTTGGGTCCCTTCCTATAGAACCCGAGTATACACTATATACAAAAAGGGCCCATGGTTCCAACCATAGAGTTCAAGCTTCTCAAGTTCATAGGCTTCCTTGGTTTGGGGTTGAGAGTTTATAGTGGCGTGGAGTTTAGGGTTTAGGGTTTAAGGTTTAGGGTTTAGGGTTTAGTTTATGGAGGTAGTGGCAGGGCTACTCCGTGGTGACATGCAGCCGCGGGCGGTAGCCCTAAACCCTAGACCTCCTGAACAAGACTGAAGACCCATATGAAGTAGGATACATACTTCTCGTCCCCCCCTATACACTCACCAACTTTAAAAGAGGAACCTTGCATTTCCACTCACCAAGAACAGTAATATAAGCCCTGCTTCATGTGGGTTAAGGGGTTCCGGGGCTTGAATACACCCCCAAGAAGTGAACCCTCAACTTCTCAACTGCACCCTAAACCCTCCTGTTGTCCCGAAACCCTAAACCCTAATCCCTCAACCCTAAACCCTAAACCCCTCGCGCCTGGTGAATGCTGCATCACCTATTTTTTTACCAGGGGAGTCGGCTCCTTGTTTTTAGGGCTTATAGCGGTTTAGGGTTGAGGGATTCGGGGAGTTTAGGCGCTTAGGGCTTAGGGATCTAGGGGTTTAGGGGCTCAAGATTTATAGGCTGCAGGGCGTAGGGTTTAGGGGTTCAGGATGGGTTAAGGCTTCAAAGCCCTCTTCGGGATCTCCAGTGCGCACAGAGACCCTCGCGAAGGCAGGTGCACTTCTACCGGAAGAAGCAAGCCTGGACCCCGAAATCACAAAGTCATATATTAAGTGCCTACATCAGAGACCAGCACCGAAACTCTCAACGCCAAACATCCTAAACACCCTTAACCACCTGCAAGTAATTGCCTTTATGAACCCTAACCCTAAACCCTAAACCCTAAACCCTAAGCCCTAAACCCTAAACCCTAAACCCTAAACCCCCAAACATCCTCAGCCAGGATGGGCCCCGCACTCCACAGGAAACGGCAGCGGCGGCAAGGTCGGAGTCGCCTAAAGGGTTTCGGGCTTAGGACTCGGGTATAGGGTTTAGGGCTAGGGTTTAGGGTTTAGGGTTTAGGGTTTAGGGTCTAGGGTTTAGGACTTCGGGTTTAGGACTTCGGGGTGACAAGGGAGTCTGAGTTTGTGCGCGCAAGCGCTCGTGCGCGTGCGTGTGGGCGTGGGCGTGTGGGCGTGGGCGTGTGCGTGTCTGGTGCGATCAACCGTGGGTACGGGGCAAACGACGCAGCCTGCTTGCGGGGTTTCTGGTTGGTTCAAGAACGGAGCGTATACTTGGTTTCACGAATCAGGATGTTATGAATTGCGGGTTTAGGCAAAAAGGAAGTCGAATCGGAGGACTTGAAACAGAACTTATGGCCTTATCCGCCCGAAGCCCTGCTCCTGAGCCCACGCCTTCTCCACCTCCGCAAGGGCCAGCCTTGCAAGCCCGGGTGCGGAGCACCATTGTGGAGGCTGGTGAGTGCTTTAGGGTTTAAAGTTCAACCTGGGAAGTTCTCTAGCTAGCCTTTTCTTTGGGGTCCCTCAATCATAAGGACCCCCCCAAGAGCTGCCGCCACATTGGGGTTTGTTCAGGGCTTTAGAGCTTCAGGGCCTCTAGGTTTTTGCAGGCTCTGAGGGATCGGGGACTGGGTAGGCTTGGGGCCAAGGATTTTGGTTGAGGGTCTAGGGTTATAGGGTTATAGGGTTATAGGGTTATAGGGTTTAGGGTTATAGGGTTGTAGGGTTGTAGGGTTTCAGGTTTAGGGCTAAGGCACTGGAAACTGGTGGGTTCATGGTTTAGAGGGTTCAGGATATGCACTCCACTTTCGGCCACCGTGCCCCTGAACTCGACAATATACTAAGAACAAGAAAAAGCGCGTGAATATCTCGAGATTCAGGGCTTTAGGGTCATGGGGCTTAGAGTTGTACTCCGAGGGGTTAGGACTCTTGAGATGGATGGGACGAGTGCGGTTCGGTGGAAACTCCGAAAATCCAGACAAAAGGAGTAACCTAGGAATAAACGGGGTACCTTTTTTGGGTTTTCAGGGGACTATGCGGGAACCCTGACCCCAAAAAAAGGAAATAAGGGCATACTCCGGGTCCTAGCTACCCCTAGAAGAGCCCCTAACCCTAAACCCTAAACCCGAAACCCTAAACCCCGAACCTTCAACCTGACAACCCTGAACCAAGCCAGAAACCATGGAAGACTTAGAGGGTCGAGTCGGAGGTTCCCCAAGTATGGGCGCTTCATTGGGGTCCCTTCTTTTTGGTAACCCTGATATACACTATGCAGAATAAGGGCCCATACGTCGGATCCCTAACCCTAAACCCTAAACCCTAAACCCTAAACCCTAAACCTAAACCCTAAACCCTAAACCCTAAACCCACAAACAAGTAACAAGGGTAAGGGAGCGGACTCAGGGCCCATGGTGGCCAATCTTAGGATCTAGGGGCCCAGGGTGGCCGGTTTTAGGGTTTAGGGTTTAGGGTTTAGGGTTCGGGGTTTATAGCTCCGACTCTCCCACTTGCCGTCCTCAGCGCCCTCAGCGCGCACAGCAGCAAGGGGGGCAGGAGCCGCACCATCGCTTACGTCTGTACAAGGGAGGGGACTCCCCCTAGTCATAAGTAGAGTTATAAGGACCCGAAATTGACTTATAAGGATCCTAAATTCAGTTATAATAAGGACCTTAAATTCAGTTATAATAAGGATCCTAAATTCAGGTATAATAAGGACCCTAAGTTAAGTTATAAGTCCCTTAACTACAGTTCGTATAGTAAGGGGGGCCCCTCCTTGTAGCTTTGGAGGTGCTGACAAGGCTGGACTCCAGGGGCAAACGCCCTGAGCCCCAAATCTGAAAAAAAACCCTAGGCCCTGAGCCGTAACCCTAAACCCTAAACCCTAAACCCTAAACCCTAAACCCTAAACCCTAAACCCTGAACCTTACGAACTTTACACCAGAAATCCTAAAAAAGTTGAAGCCGAAAGAACTGAGGGCCGC